CTGCTCACTAGATACATACGTTATCCGATGATGTGGACCCATCTGGACAGGCTGTACCTTCCTACAGAATGAGCATGCACTCACTTCCTCGAGGTCTCAAGGGAACTCAAGATCACGGCATTCACTGACCCAGCCTTCACCAAGCATCTCGAGGCAGCCCTACGCTTTGGCACTGTCCTGCTCTTCACTGATGTACAGAAGGTCGACCCAATCCTCAACTCAGTAAGTGGATGGGCAACGACACAATGGAGTCTTCCTGATGATGTGTGTTATGAATAGGTCCTTAACCGAGAGATATTCAAGAAGGGAGGTCGTACACTCATCACTGTTGGTGACGTGGATATTGACTACTCTCCAAACTTCGCAATGTAGTAGTGCTCTACCCCTCTATTGTAGTAGGATAGTCTGCTCATATCAGGTATATGACTACGAGGGATGCTTCCCTTACCTTTACTCCTGATGTGGCATCTAGAGTAACGATGGTTAACTTCAACGTTACTAAGGAGTCCCTCCAAGCACAGTGTCTACATGCTCTACTCAAGACTGAGAGACCTGATGTGGAAGAGAAGCGAGTGAAGGCTCTCAAGCTGCAAGGGGAGTTTAGGGTAATTATCCTACTCGGTATGGCGTGAGCCCGGCCCTCAAGGTACGAATACGCGAGTTGGAGGACGGCCTTCTGCACGCCCTATCTAACGTTACTGGTAGTATACTAGAAGACGAGGCTATTGTATCCACACTTGAGACACTCAAATGTGAAGCGGCTGAGGTGCGGATGTTTTCATGTGGACCTTGGGTGTATCTTTGGTGTTAGGTCGCAGAGGAGGCAGGCAAAGCAGATGAGAACTTGCGGGAGATCGAGGCGGTGTCTTCGGCATATATCCCTCTGTCGGCATCAGCTGCTAACCTCTTCTTCGTGGTCCAAGGCCTTAAGGCTCTCAACAATCTCTATCAGTTCGGCTTAGTCCGGTATTTGGAATTATACAACCTGGTGCTTCAACATTCTTCCGATACTACATCTGCTGCCTCCTCACGATTATGGAGTATATGGCAGTGCTTGGTTAAGCTGGTATATGACTATGTCGGCTCTGGCCTATTAGCCGCTGATCGTCTTATATTCCTATTACGTGTTGCTGAGATTGGTAGTGCTATGGTACCATCTTCTTCTCCACCACCCTCCCAATATATGCAACTACTCACCATGCACGATGAACAGAAGCGTGATGGGGAGCCATTATCCCCATTGAAATGCGTGGAGGCTCTCAATATCAGCCAGGATCAGAAGGATCTTATCACTCGGCTTGTCTCTACTGCAGTCTCCACAGGGGCTTCTTCGTTCGCTTCCGCACTACAATCGAGTCTAAAGGCCCATCCACAGGAGTGGGCAGCATTCTTGACTGTCACTAACAGTACAGCTATCATCCCACAAGGATGCCATCATTCAGGGGATTCAGTATTAGTCTCTCTGGAGAACGTTATTATATCGAGATGGATGCGACCCGATCTAGCAGAAGAATATCTAGAACGCTATGCTGAGGGGTTACTAGGCTTGGACAAGCCACTCACTCCCTTCAATGCTCCATCCTTACAAGATTCGATCACATCTCGTTCGATGATGGTAGG